TTGATTTAACATTTAATATGTTATACAATTAAATTATGATTTAATATGTTATTACAATGCACTCAGATATGAATTCGATCAAATTTAGTCTTTTCTAATGATATTGCAAACATTTTTTAAATTATTTAATATTAAATTATTTAATTTAAAAAAAAAAGAGAGTTGTATGATATTAACAAATTAAAATGGACATTCGATTAAATTTTTGATAAAATTTTAACTGTCTACAAGATATTTTACCTAGATGAATTTCTTTTTCATTTTTCATAATTTTAATTTATACTATACCTGTAATATACTATACACAATAAAATTTCATTTTTTAAATTTCACTTTAAAATTTATGATAACAGAAACAAATATGTTAATTATTTTTCTTTGACCAACGTTATAATTTTCTTTAATATTATTACTTGAAATTTCTTTTTTAAATCAAATACATGTCCCGATCCGAATATCTATCTTTATAATATTTTGATTAACGATATTGTAAAGTGTAACGATAAAAATCCCCAATCATAAAAGTTCGTCATTCAATTTTCATCTGTCAAAAATCTGTCACAAACTCATCTGTCACAACTTTCATCTGTCAAAAATTTCTCAAATAAAGCACTGTGAGGCTGCACAGTTTCGTAGTACAAATCTATCGTACATAGATTCAACTTTAACATTTATATACAATTTTTTAAAACATTTTTTAAAATGAAAAATGAAAAGTGAAAAATGAAAAATAAAAAAAGATAATTATCACTATAATATTTTTACTTATCTCTGACAAACAGTGGCATCTTCTCCATGTCGCGATAAACTGGGAAGATTACTATTTCACAAAAGATCGAGCTTGTACGATCAGGGATCTCCGCGATGAGATTTCATCGAGCAAATATCTTTCGTTCTTTTTCGCATTTTCAGTGATGCGTTTTGTCGCGGCATAAGGTCGGCGAGAAAATGAAAGTTAGAAAAAGAGGCGCACGCGATCATCAGGCCTCCTTGAAACGCACCTCCTACTGTCGGCGCGCCACTCGTCGCCGCATCTTCGAAAGCTCCGTCTGACGAGAGTGCTCTCTTCTTTTCGCGGCTCTCGCGGTGGATGGTGGCCGTTATGCTCGACAGCCGTCATGCCCGCGCCCGACCCGTGGTGCCCATTGTGGGATCCGTTGTGCCTACGCCCAACACTGGACATCGATTTCGGACCTCCCGCATGGTGGTAGTACCCCTTCCCTACAGTAGATCCAAAATGTTTCGTATTTTTTTCCTCCTTTTCTTATTTTTCTCCTCTACAATATCCATAATGAATGCGTGCGCGAATCGGTTTTATGTCTTTTCTTTTTATTTTTTATTTTTTTTTTTATTTTTTTTTATATAAACTCGTAACCCTTAATTCTACCTACGCCAATTCTTTTTTGGAAAAAAGAGAGTATCCTCTCGCGATTTATTTTGAAATCTTCCTGTACACGCGTCCTTTTTCATTTTTATACGGCGTCTCGATTTTCGGTTGATCTGACATAACGAAAACGAAAGTTACCGTGTCTTAAGAATTATCCCATCGTTATCCCTCAAGTGTCAAGAGTCAAGTGCATTTTCCTGCGACACCTCGCATTCCTATCCCGCCCGGTGTTTTTCTCTTTGATTTACGTGTCAGCTTCGTGTTTGCGTTTTGTGGGTGGCGATATACCTAACGGAAACGAGATAAGGCAGCGGTGCAAGCTTGCCCGCGATGAATGTGCGATAGATGACGTCTGAGAAGCGTTAAGTAGAACCGTACGTCTGAATCTGCCTACACACGATTGGCGAGACGCTAAAAAATACGACTATATGCATAAATTTGTGCAGGGATCGTGTGGTTGTGTGTGTACGTGTGCGCGTACGTGCATAACGATAATTACAGTCTTTTCTTGACGAGATATCCATCTAAAGTTCTGGGACGTTTCCTATTTCCGAGGTCTGCGGGATTTCGATATGATAGTGGTAAATACAGATTTTCGTTATACACAAAAAAATAAAAACATTAAATACATGAAAAATTATCGTATGATAGTGAAAAAATACAAAAAATACAAATTTGACTTCCGTAAGGCTGTATATTATAAATTAAATTTATATTTATTGTAAATTTAACTTATACTTAATTAAATTTATATTTATATTTATATTTACCTGTAATATAATATAATTTAGAAAACAATACGCTATTCCGAAATTTCCAAAATCATTATCTTTATTTTCTCTTGAAGTTGATTTCTCTTGAAGTTGAATTCTCTTGAAATTTAAAGGCAATATTGATACTTACGGATGCCAAAAATGGCCTTGTGTAAAAATTTAGTACAGAAAAGAAATAAAACACATTGAACGCAACTTCAAATCTTGAAAACGTAATTTTGTTGCTGCAGCGTCATTGTCCTAATTAAGTACCTACAGGTTTATACTGATATCCAGATAATGTGTATATGCGAATGAATGGAAGATTTCGAGATGCAGAGAATTTGTGGGAGTTGTACGTGTGTACACGTATATATTTTGAAGTGAAGTGTAGATAAAAATATACCTGTGCACGATTCATAGCCGTCCAAAGTAGAACAAATAAAGTCTATTACAATTCTCTGCCGATCGGTCGCATCGCGCGACGTGCGAGTTATAAGCAGACAAATGTTGCTCGTTTTCTCGTAAGAAAAAAAAATGATCTTGATCTTTCTGCTTGCATCCTCGCATTATTCTCATGGTAGCGTTAATGCAAATGCGTCCCCGAGAGCGCGAAAATATGTAGGTTTCTTCGCGAGAAAATGTAAGACAATATAAAAGAAACACAATTAAGTATAGACGATACGTTCTGAAACTTAATTCTGAAGTCTGATTAGCAGAGTGGAGTTTTTATAAAATTTTATCAAACGTACAAAAAGCGTAACACGCAAAAAAAATAATACACTGTACGCGTAATCGGGCCACGAGAGTCAGATAAATCAAAGGAAGAGACGAATTATCGATTTCAACTCGATCAACGCACGACCGTTCGGCAGATACGTACACACACATGCACACGCATACGCACAGATATACATATTATATATATATATATATATGTATATGTAAGTATACATACAATTAGATATATGTGTAGCGATTAATATATAGCAAAAGATGATTTGCTTTGTATTTTTATGTAATAAAATTATTAAGTACCGCGGGCAATTGCCGATTCATTCTGTCTGCCGCCTTCTCCCGCATACCCCTGGAAGTCATCCCTAGCGGCGGCGGCTTTTGCCCTAAAAGCCGATCTCCCTTTAACTACACATTGCAACTTACTGTTTGACTTATTGCTAATCATTGAAATAATATACTCGGTGTGAGATGCCGCTGCGGTTCATCTGCATTATAGAAGTGGACTGGTATTATGTATGATATACTGATAAACTAATCGGAATTACAGAAATATCTGTGCAAGATTTCGTGCTCGGTGTTTAAACATAAGACGTCAGGTAGACAGAAAGACTAAATGACAGATACGAAGATGTAAAGCTCTTGAATCTGTGAATAAAAAAAAAGAAAAATATCGTACAAGATTTGCGAATAAAATCAGCGAAAACATATTCACTCAATTCAACGATTCTGAATTTACCACGAACGATATTTTACAACCATGCTACGAGAAATCGTCACGAGATGTGAACGATTCTTTGACGTCAGATGATGTTGCGTAAGTCGTTATTTGCAGATAATTCGCTGAAAGAAATGCACCATTAATTTTGTTCATAATTAAATGTGAAAAATTGTACACGTGTAAAAAAATATTTTTAGATCGAGGAGCGCATAAAAAGAACATTACGAAGAAGAGACCTGTATATTGTCAGTAAATAGGCGACGAGAGCGCGATAAAAAAAAAAGGGGGATTCGTGGTTCGTAAAACTAACAAATTGGTAATACGATCGCCACGAGAGAGCGAGCCTTATATCATTCAACGATACCTATATATCCGTGTTCTACGCGGCAATGTGCATTTGATATCAGTGTATCAATGCGATCTCGACATTACGACATAACGAGAGACAATAAAAGCGAGAGGAATGCCGTTGAAAAGTCGTTCCATTGACGATCGAAGGCGCGTAACGTCCAAATGGAATCCGTTTGGTTACAAAAAATTTTACGTCAATACACTGGGTGACCGAGAAATATCAAGTTAATGTTCACGGGGGGTGCTATTGTAAATCGTAACTCTGAGACCGCGAGGTAAGCTTACGAATATCAATGAGACGAGAGATAAAAGGGGAGGACCTTTACGGCGCGTACCCGCGTCTCGTCGCAAAGCGACCTGCACAAAAGACGTCGTCTGTCGTTCTCGGTACACACGAAGGGCCTCGAGTGACTGTCGATGGGCATTTAAGCATGCGTTTAAAGTAGGCGGAATAGTCACGCATCCGCAGGTACCTGACGACGCGAGCGTGGCATTTTCTACCCGACGAGATGCTCGCGATGGATAATAAATAGAAGTGCGCGCGGTAAACCGCGAGCGATAGCAGATGTCGTTGTGGCGAACGGAAAGAGGAGGAGTCACCGTGGAGTCACGCGTTGGGGAAAAGTGCAGAGAATCTTAATTTAAAAGTTAGATGACACCGACTCACCGCGTATAAATCACTTCAAGATTTTACCATCCCGTTCTCGGCGCCGCCTTACGCTCACTTTCGCGTCGTCGTCGTCGTCGTCGTCGTCGTCGTCGTCGTCGTCGTCGTCACCGGCGACGGCGGCGATATCTCGTTTGCGTTCCTATTTCTCATGAAAAAATTTCGCTGAGCTACGGAAAGTTCGACCGCGCGAGAAGCGTGGATAAAAAACCGCGCCGACGAAGATTCATTACCGAGATAACGAAATTGGGTAAACTCGAAATGCCAAGTATCTCTCCGTCCTCCTCCGCTCGCTATCTCGCCGGTGAAACGTGATCGATAACGGGAACGAGAGCAAGACTTTTAGATATTACGGCGTTTAAGCGTGTTACTGTCGCATCGAACTGCGCTATCAGCAGGTGTCAGAGGCGGATTATTCGGTTCTGTCGGAATTGTGGTTTCGCGGGCGCCGCAGATGTGCAGAAGTGCTGAAAACGGGCTAGAAATCTTCATTAGCGTTGATTCCAACGTAGCGTTGAGAAACACAACGCGAGAATATGGACGGCGGAGAAGAGACTTTACTTAAAGACTAGACGAGAATTAATGCCGCCAGCCGCATTGATCGTGTAGCAAGCATTTTCCCTGCAGGGCAATTAATTGCCCTGCAGACATCTCTCTCCTTCTTTTTCCCTCCCCCTCCCCCCCCTCCCCTTGTCCTCGCGGAGAGACACATCTCCGCCTTCGATCCAGACTCTCCGTAGGTACTCTCTTCGTTAAAACGGGCGATCGCCCGAGTAACATACGAGCACACGTAACTTACCTCGCTTCTACAAACTAATTCTCTATTCTCTAATTGTATTGTGCATCTACGAATGGGAGCAACAACACCACCGTCGGACTAGTCCGTCGCTTCCCTCGCGCGTCGTGTACATTTAAAACGATTCTCACATACAATTACTCCTTGTCACTCGGCCTTAACTTGCGATTGCGTTGCTGTACGCAGCAATCATCTCTGTTCATCAGATTTTTCAATGAAAAATGGTCGGCTAGATACACCTCATTTCACCTCAAACGGCTAGTAATGTTTCATGGTTTCACACGTCAATGTCACATGTCAGTCAATTGTAGTCTGATTCTTCAGAATCAAAATCCGCAAAAAGGCGCATAATCGGTTAAATTAAAAAAATTGAAACTAACCAACGGATGGATGTGCAAAACAGGTTGTTAATCTTGTCACAGCTGGACCGTGTGATCGATCATCCAATGCATATTGTATCCTTTTTCATTTTATTTGTTCAAATCAAAAGGTACGGATGTTTCGTCGCCAAGTTTAACGAGATCACACAGAACGGCGAGATATATCAGTATCTATTTATACACAAAACCTCGAAATGAAAATTACATTTTCTCAGTAATGGCTGAACCGATTGAATTCTAACTAGTCTCAATCGATAGCCGAGGTTTAAATTATATCATAAGAGTATTTTTAGTTTTTCTCTCCATGCTCTACGAACAAAAATATCACGATACAAAGCTTAAATAGATAGAAATAGAAATTTTACGAAACATCCACGTCGCCGTTTCAGAAGTTTTTTCCCTAATTTTGACACCAGAAAGCAGCACTTTCTTGATCAAGAGATACTCTCTCTGTCCTTCTCTCTCACTAATCGTTCTATCTGTCAGCATTATATGATAGCGAGTGCAAATGCGCCCCTGTGAGACTACGTGCGATAAATCGTTATTCGCTGTATTGATTTTACAAAATTTTATCTACGCCAGGGATCACTAGTATAATCGTATTATCAATCAAATAAATCAGTTTATATACATACAAATAATAAGTAAGTAGTGCAGAACGTCATTGCGCAAATTTCTTAATGAGATCTGGAAAAAACATTACACTGAAATTTATAGCATCTGTTAAGAAAAAAAAACATATTACATAAGTTATCATTGACATTGCACCTTTCTTTTATTGTAATTTTCCTAAATAAAATAATAATGGTTTCTCTTAGAAAACATAGAAGATTCCAGTAAGATTGCAGCAACAATATAAAGTTCCAACTAACATTTCAGTTTGCAGAATTCATTAAGATTTGAATATATTAATTATTTTGTACTGTAAATGAATTTGATTCCAAATATATAGGTATTCTTAACGTTACTAAAATATTAATTATTTTATATTATAAGTGAATTTATGAAATTTCAAACATAATTTTTTTTTTTAATATAAGAAAAAAAAGATATAATACATTCAATATAATACCAAACTTTTCTTTCAAAAAAATAAAAACTGCTAAAATAACAGACAATAAAATTATTTTATCGTTTGTGCAAAAAATATAATATCAAAAAAATGACATCAATTAAAAACCTCATAAAATAAAAAAAACTTTGCAAAGAGGAAAAAGATGAGGAAAAAGATTGACATTAATATCAATTTGTAGTTATTAATGTTTAATAAAATTATTATACTTGTATTCATATATTTAAAAAAAATTAATGTGCAAAATAAAATTAAATTGTATACTAAAATACTAAAATTAAACTGTAAAAAATTTGATTGAACCTATTCAAACTTACATAACTGTATGCATAAAAAAAATTAGTCAATCGCATTTCTATCCCATAAAATATGATTGGTTAATTTTCTTTATGCACATAATTATATAGCTATGCAAATTTGTTTGGATAGACTCTAAATAAGGTTTGCATTGACACTCTATACTGTTCAATTATAAATTGAACTGATTTATTAATGCATTTAATTATAATGTGATTATGTGTATTAGTCACCCCCCGCGGCGTGAAATCTTGCAGAGTCGACAATATAGCGATCTGAATAGTGATTTATGATTCAAATTATGATAATGCATCATCGTGCACTATATATGAAGTATAAAAAGGCATTCTAAGTATAATTATTTAATAATATATATTCCTTAATTTTGTAAAAAAAGGTGTAATATCTAAAATTTGCACAAAAGTCAAATTTTATTTAAACATCTCCATATCAAATAAATTTTATTATTTCTACAAAATTTGATATGAAAAACTGACGCCAACTTTTAATTCCAAAAAATAAGAAAAAGATCTTATAAAAATACAAAAATTTTATAATAAAAAATTAATATTATCTTATAGTTGTCAAAAAATTTAATATAATCATTATACTTGTGTATATAAAAGTATAAAAAATTCTGATGTAAAATAGTAAAATTATATAAAATTATATAAAATAGTTAAAATTAAATTATATAAAAGATTTGATATAAAAAATTAACGCCAACTTATACTTGTTAGTAAAATTTAATGTAATTATTAATATTTGAGTCTACGTATTAAATTAAAAACTTATAGTTGTAAAATTTAATATAACTATTATTTTTATAATATATTATAAAAAATTATAACTAATAAGAACTTAACTTTATAAATAGTTTCATTGTACAATCTATATAATTTTAATTAGACACAAAAACTTGGCACGATCGGATCGCGATCTTTTGTATAATTTAATTTCAGTTATTATCATTATTCCTCACACATCAGAATTTTTTATACGCAATATTCATAATAAAGGTGGCCAATATAGATTTCTCTTACGCGTTCTCGTAGAATTTACCGTGCGTGGTTTCATCGAAAAAAATATAGGAGGGAAAGAACGCCAAGACTATTGGTCCACATTATAGCTATTATTGGCATTTTTATTGAAGAGCAAGCCGGCAGACCGTGCGTCACACAGGACGGCGCGATGCGTGCCTTTGATACGCGTATTCTGTAGTCGCCAGTTTCTGCGGAGTACCGCTTAATTCCGGCCTCCGTGTTTATCTCAAGCTATCGCACCCCGTTCACGAGCGATAACGAAGAAGCGGATAATCAGCGCGCGGGAGATCAAGTTAGCAAATGTCATGGTCAGTAAAATCGCAAAATATTTGAAGATTAACAAATACATGCTAAATACACATAATGTGATGCGCACAAAAGGTAATTGTCATGTAAAAGAATCTGTAGAATCATAATAGCATCTGTAGAAATTTAGAGAGCAAATAGGATTGACCGCCGTTTCTCTCGATTATTTCTCGAGATGTTTATAAAACATGTTGTGCTAAAATATTGGTGAGATCAAGCTTGTCTCGGCAAAGCAATGAAAAAGATCAAGAGCTAAATAACGAGCATATAAAGATGCTACTTACGAGCAGTGACATAAAAGAAAACTAATGTCAACCTGATTTGATATAATATAAGACATTGACCAACAATAGCCGTAATTGGCAGAGATGCTTTTAATAGTATTTGAATCTCAAACACCTAACCATGGCGGCGATTAAGAGAAAATATCACCTAACAACATATATCTGGACAGTTGGTTTCTCTGGCAGAAATAAACGCGGAGGAGTGAACGTCAGGAAAAGGGAGTATGAGGACGGGATCAAAGCCGTATGGCCGCTCTACAAAATCTAGTGGAAGTTGATTTAACTATTTACATCGTCGGGCGGATATACGGTAGGCGCGTATACGCGTGTGCACTTTACGCCCACATGTTTGTGCAGTTACATGAATCTATAACTATCCATATAATAAATCGTCGGACCTTCACTGAGATTTTATTTTAATTTTCGCGAGAATGCAATTTTGTTATTTCCATGGAGAATAATGTTACATGCGTGAGGCTTATCCTCAATTTTTATCTAATCTTAAACGTATTAATCGGATTCCTTTATAAATAAATTTTATTCAATTTTTATTAAAAAAGAAGATACTCGTGTTTAACATATATTCAATGTATTTGAAATGGCTCGTAGCATACGCAATATCGTGATATTAGATTGTGAAAGCAAGGCGCATAAATCGATTTACGCTAATCTCACGCGTTTCTTCTCTTATTGTCCCGGCTATCCATTATTCCACGATAAATTCAGCGACGCGTCTTGATTCCTACATAGAAGCTAATCTCGATACGCGCGCTGCACCAGATTTATGAGTGAGCAAGGACTCGGTGAAAAAGAAAAGAAAAAGGAAAAAAAAGAGAGAGATAGATGCGGCGCCAAAGCCTGTTCGTCCGACCGTCAAATTGCAATGTCTTCAGATTAAATTTATATAAGACCGTTTACCTTCCATCTCTCCCTTCCTTCGAAAAGATTCGACCTTGTTGGATACGTGCTGTAAAAAATGTTGCGGTGCCTAAAACGCTGCAAACGCCTGCAAACGCTAATATAATTACGGTTATCGCGCGTACAGTACTCTCTCGTTTGTCACACGGACGATCAATCATAGAAAATGGTCAGCGCGCGTTGCGCGGACAAATTAGCCCGTGAACTTCCACCGGAATCTCTGTAAAACGCGTCGCAAAAGAAAGAGAAAAAAATAATACAATGCGCGCCGATGTTTCCGTCGGTCAATTCGAAAAAGCGCGATCGTGCACAACACGTAATTCTCTCATCGCCCCCAGATAGGAAGAAAATGTCAAAGTTTCTTCAGCCTCCGTTCATAAGTAACGAGCTGCACGGAGGGGGCAGCGACAAATGTGGGTTCACATGATCTTCATTGTGTTCCCGATGACATTTCGTAATCCCATTTTGCAGACTGCGTTGGTTTACTCTTTCTCTTCTTTTTTTTTTCGAAAAAAAAATAAAAAGGATAAATTTGCGTCGTTGTGCAGAGCTCGAAGTTATGGTTGAATTAACTTCAAAAATAAAGCCATGAAACGTTTAATTTTATTGGTGCTGTATATATCTTCGAAACTGTCTTTCGAAATCAGAGGAGGCAAGATAAATGGGTTCGCGCTAACGAGGCGAAGGGTTAGAAGTGCACTCGTAAATTCAGGTGCTGAGGAGAGAGAAATGATCTCCAAGATAATCATTCGACGGGTCGCCCGTCGAGGAGAGTACTGAGCCTTTTTGAGCCAGCGAGGCTTTTTCTGGACGAGTTCTGGCTGGTTAGGGGTCGAAGACTATTCAGAAACGAAGAAGGGGCAGATGTTTGAATTCGCCCACGTGCTGGCCGCGTGACGTCACAGCCAGCGTGTGGGCGTAGCGAGCGGGAGGTACCAAGAAGGAAGAAGAGGGATGGGATAGAAATAGGAAGACCACGGTACGGGAAGGAAGAGCGGGAGGGAGAGAGAGAGAGAGAGAGAGAGAGAGAGAGAGAGAGACGAGAGAGAGACGAGAGAGAGAGAGAGAGGAGAGAGAGAGAGAGAGAAGCAAACAGGACGCAAGAGAGGACTGGAAGGGTGGGTAAGCAAGGGGCGAGAGGATGCCAAGGATCAATGCAACGGCGAAACCGGGAGGGTAGAACCTGAGAATTCCCGCGGGATACACTGGCGCGACGTGGGACACGATACATGATCATGAGGTACCGATCGTGGATTTAAAAAAAACGAATGCTCCCTCGCTCATAAAGTTCCTCCTTAATCGGAGGGAAGTACATATATACCTAATCGAGTCCAGTCGATATTCCGCGGAAGGATCACTGGAAAAACCGGAAGAGCACCGAGCGCGCTAGTCATTATAAAATTGATATATGCGCAAGTTATATAACATGTCATTTTACATAATGCGTTATCATGTACGATATATTCGCAGGGAAATTATTAAGCACGATTGTATTATTCGTCGCGATCCCATCTTGACTGCTATCGTGCTATCCTGCGCCGCAAGGTACGCGTATCAATTGCATCGCACAAGGATAACATGACATGTGACTACGTGCGTTTTGATCAGATGTAAGAAGGGAGGATGTGCATCACGGCGGGGCCCGACCACGAACCAGTCGTGAAAACTCGTAATTATTTTGCGAAAAAATACCACCTCAGCCAGGAATCAAACCTGGATCTCCTGCTTACCGAGTAGGCATCTTATCCTTTCGACTACCGAGACATGTGATGATATTTATCGCAATAACGTGTTTAGAAACAACACGTCAATAATACAATGATATATACACATATACATATCGACCGATCTTCTCCGAGAAAAATTTTTATTGCGCGTTTCGCACACAAGATTTGATTTACGCTCAGTCATTGATTCACGTTATCGCACTTGCGATGACCCAAGATGTATGTCAGCATGAAATTCGCACGAGGGATTCTGTTGTGCGATCGACACAGAAACTCGGCGTATCCGACCTTCATCACATGGAAAAAAGTGATGCACGGCAGAAGTGATGCAAGGCAGAATACAGTTTATTTCTGTACTCCGCGAAAGAAAGAGAGAGATAGAGAGAGTTCCACCCTACAGGTGCCTGGATGAGTCGGTTCACAGTTCGCCGATCTCGCGTCTAATCAACTGTAAATCGCGTACATACATCGTACACATGGTTCCCTCACCTTCCTTCGATTTTTGGAAACGAAACATCCTCCACGAAAATAAACGCGATGGAAAATATCACTGAGAACACGTGAATGAATTTTACGAACTAGTTTGATAATCAGTTACTGTACAACTGATCTGTTTTTTTCTTGTTGAAACTCAATATTACGTTTTTATTACATTTGAAATAGATATTGTATATAAAATTTATTCACATAACATATATATTATCTTAATTTTTTAGCTGCGATTGTGAAGCAATTTTATAAATAAAGTTTAAATAAACTGCCGGGGCGAAGAACTGTATACATTTAGATCCCATCTCCGTGTAAATATTAGTCTGATTTAATAATATTCTATATAAAAAAATATTTTAGTCGATACTATTATATATTATATGTATACGCATGTTATACTACATCAACAATCAAGCATTGGATTGATCGATTACACTTTCCCTATAATCGTTTTATCTACAGATATCGTGACGTAAATATGTTTGTTCATCATAAGTCAAATATTTATTATTAAAAGATATATGCGAAAAGATTAGAATATACTTGCATCTCGTGCATTAATTTAAAGGGCAAGACCCTTCCAATCTGATATTATCGTCTGATATTATCGTCTAATCAACGTACGTTTCAGATGAAGTTTGGCGACAATTGGGCCATATTAATTTTTATTAATAACATATTTTGCAAAAGATATTATAAATATAAAGTTCAATTATTGATATTGATAGAATTTTAATTTATAGTATATATAACTAATAATAAAGTTAAATTGAAGCTCGACAAAAAATGCATCTTATATAAACGCGTGTTATTATGAACTGTTTTCTGTATGCCATATTTTTATTTAATTAATTTCAATTAGTCCTATTATATCTTGTAATAAATAAAATAGTTTCAATATAACAGTCTCAAAAATATTTATATTGAAATAAAACTTCTTCGATAAATCCGAATAAAATTTATATCACGGATGTCGATTAAATAAAGTATTTCGTTAATTTATATCGAGCGGTAAATTGTATAATTAGAAGTAAGGAGGTATTAGAGATTGGAGGATTCACTTACCCTTCTCCGACTCGTCCGGCTCGTCGCTGGCGCATTCCGGTGTACTTCGTTCTTCTTCACTGCTGCTGAAACTTCTTTGTTGTTGGACGCTCAACTGCGTTGACGCAGGTTGAGCGACACGTCCACCTTGTGATTGATGCAACGAATGCTGCTGAGAGGGGTGCACTGTGGTACGAACTGAGCCAGTCTCCATTGATGTCTGACCGTAAGTCATTCCGAGGTCTGTAGTCTGATCCTGCATTACGTAAGGTAATCAATGAATTACAAAACTTGCCATCATAATATATATATATATATATATATATATATATATATCAAAATTGTAAAAACGTAACTTCAAAAAAAACTTAAAATTTAAATTAAAGTTTAATTTTAGTAAGTCTTTTTAAACTAAACAAAAGTAGTGGATAATTCTAAGAAACAAAAAGATTTATTAAAATATTCGATTCATAGCTAAATTATCTTATTACAATTTTATTTATAAAAGAAAGTTTAAAATTCTAAAATTTTATATCAAATATATATAAAGAAAAGCACAGTATTTTATTGATTTATTATTTTATCAATAATTAAATTTGCAAACTTTACATGGTAAAATCAGTTTGCCAAATTTAATGTAATTGCATAAATACAAATTGGTCTCTATAATTTTGACAAAAATCGAATTTGAAATTGTCAGTTCTCTTACTTGATAGGTCGATCGTTGTCTCTGATAGTTCTGCGGATGTTGTCTCATCAGACCGTCGAGTTCGCCTCGGTATAAATTGGGATCGTCGTCAGGATAGACTGCAGGATGTCTCGGAGTTTGTTGCACGGGGTACGTACCAATCACGTGTGGTGTTGGTAAAGTTCTCACGTGAGGCGAAACGATTTCCACCCCACTGTCGCTCGTGGACATCCGACGACCCGAAATCTAGAACCACAGAAAACGAGACTCACTGAGTGCTCTGTATAATACGTCGCGAGGGCGCGGGCTGATAATTCTTCGTTTATGACGGGAACGTCTCGATCTTTCTCTTCGTTCATAAATAAGTAAACCACAGAGATATCAGACGTGCGAATTATCGCGAACTTATCACGGTGCGACGTTACATATTCATGAGTGTAAGAGCATCCGAGTATTTACGTGCGCAAAAGTATATCTGCCTCGTAAATAAAAGAGTGCGTTCCGACAGGAATATGGCGGGCGAGCGAGGAGAACGTTACCTGCTCTTGCTGGGAGTACTGTCTCCTGAGAGGACAGTTTCCGCTTCTCTGTAATAACGGCAAATTCTCTTTCTCAGCCGCGCTGTGCGCCCTCTCGAGTTTCGGTCTTTTATCCCGAGTTTGGTCCGCGAGTCCCTGACGACCACCCACCTGCAAGTCCTCCTGCATTTGTCGCAGCAACGCGTTGTCCACGGCGCCCGTCTTCGTCATCCATTGTCCGGTCTTCGAAAGAAGTTCCTGCTTCTTCCGGCAAAGTATACACACCCATATCACCTGCAATCAAAAAAGAAGCGTTCCCATGTTGAGCACGTGATAAAAATAGAGCGAGCATCGTCTATTTGTGACCCGACACTGTGCAAAGAGTATGCGTATTTTGGGACAATCGCACTTAAAGGACATATACGGTGTCGCTTTATCAAGCCTGAATTATCAAAATAACAAATGTGTGCGCAAAATTTTATCTCTGCAAAGCGCGAAAGTATCTTGAAACTTATCGATCCAGGTCACCGCGTGCGGCCAGTGACGAGGATATTAATAGGAAATTACCTATAGGAAGTCAGCCGGTTACCAAGCTAATTGGAATGTATAAAGCGATGTGAGATTGATTACAGAAGCGAAAGACACGCAAACTAAAGTAGCCTAGACGTACGACGTATCTTATTTTACAATGAGCTATGTCACTCGAATGCATTACTTTTGCGACGAAGCGATCCGTTTAAAAGGGAGTCAAAAATATGAAAAATGATCTAGAATCGAATAAGTACGATAATCAAGTACTTAAAGTGATCGTATCCGCTCTGTTCTGTGTTTGAATTTCGTCTTACATCCAGAGAAAGAAATCATAAATTCCTCTTCGACGAAGTCTCCATCTTCGGGACCGGGTCATTGCCTTGCTATATTCTTATGCAAATCCATGAGGATCTGAATAACGTTTAATTAAATGTTAAATTAAATTGAGCAGATGCGAATGTAAAGATGCGAAGCGTAACAAAAGGAATCTGTGCTCGCAAACCATGTATGTAGACAATTAGATGACAGTTGCGGTTTTTGTATGCGGTTTCTCTCATATATTTTTATTAATAAGAAGAAAAATTCTTTTTTGCCAATGCTTACTGATCTATCTTAACCGTTAATTCGTATTCTGTTAATAAAATAAAATGATGTAAGATAAACTTGACGATAAACGTTTTCAAATCTATAAATTCGATTCGTGGAGACATGTGGTATTCTTTTTCTACGATATTTTATTTTTACATTTTTTAGTTTTGTACATCGAATACACATACTGTATTATTTAATAATTTTTTTAAATACGAAGCAAATTATTATGTAACGATATAAATCTGCAATATGGGAAAACATTTAATACATCTTGTGTGATTACAATGGAAAAGTATGACTCAAATTTAGGTGATATATTTAATCATATGATTAATCATTTCAATAAATTATCTATAAAACCCGTACATTCTTATACGCAACTGTTGTGTATCGGATATAATGAGGGCTCACAATTAGCAAACTACCGCTCGAGTCAAGTAGTTTGCAGTGTGAATAGGAACTAGTAGAATATTTCATCAAGATAGAGAGTGATGGATGGAGCGTTTAGTAGCAAACTACAAAACAATGCCTATGCAAACTCTCATCGATAACACTTTGCTGTCCACTCTCGTGTTACAGTGAGAAAATCACAATGGGGATCAGCGACGGTCCCAAATAACATAGAATTGAAGATTTCGTTATTCTTTGAAAGGAAAAAGGTACACACGAAAAGAAAAAAATTTAATTATTTTTGTCAAAAATCCAGATTTCAATTGTAAATTTACATCGAGATACGGTCAATTTTATTTTAATTCGATGACGAATTCGTTGAGAACTAAGAAAGCAAGTGCCTGTCAATTTGCTTCGTCTAAACGCTGCATATTGGCATAATTTAGTATCATTATACATTTCAAATTTTTTATTGAAAGAACATATAGCAATATATAATTTTTATTGAAATAGTCTAATATTGTCAAAATTGTCTAATATTGTCAAAAATTTTAAAAAGATGCTTTCTTAATTCATTGTTGCATTATTGTATGATAATTTTCACATGTAGGTCACCCTTTTTTAATATCTTATCCTAATAACATCAATACATCTTACTAAATTATTTTATTGATTACATATAAATGTATGCGTAACTCTCTGTAATAACTATCAATTTTCAGCTGTTGAATAAAATCAGCCATTTAATAAAATTGCCAAACAAAATGTGTTCATAAAATATATGATTTGTTTGAGCTATATCGAGATTGCCTCATCGCAATTAAGTGAAATAAATGTACACGCACGCATGCGCGCGCGCGCGCGCGCGCGCGCGCGCACACACACACACACACACACACACACACACACACAGAGCTGCAACTGTTAAAAGTTTACAGTGCTACACTCCATGCCCTGCATAGAGAAATGACATTTGAACACTTGGACACGTCTTTCCTGATTCGCACATTTCGTTAAATGTTTCTTTAAGAATTGAAAGGTATTGGAAAGATCAGTTTCAACGTCGTTTCGCGGCGGAGCTGTAAGCTTAGCATTTTAAAATCAAGAAAGAGAATTCCGAGTGCAAAGTCGGAAGCTTTAGAGAGTACGCTCGGAGAAAACGGCGGAAGAAAACGAGTGCGCACTTTATTACCTGAAAGCGCGACCACAATTTTCCGGTAAATTCGAATACGACAAACGTCGCACGTGCGTGCGACGATCGTGTATGCTTAAGGAATATCCCGACGAGAAACTCGCGACACCGACAATGCCACAGTGCAGACTGAAAGAGCACGCCTGTGAGAAAGAGCTCGCGAAGAGGGCGAGAAAGACGGGGAAAGGGAAGGAATGAAGAAAGAAGCAGCAGCAACAAAGATAAAACGGGAAGAACTTGAGGGAAGAGTACTTGGTTGAGTTGCCTAGATAGCAATATGTCAAGAGCTCAACCTCTTTTCGCGATCGTCCTTCGCCCGGCAGCGTCCTTCGTCTGGTCAAAATATTTCGTACATACGTATGATACATGTCAGACCTTAAAAAAAAAAAAAAAAACAAGAAGACAGAAAAGACTCTACAAGACTAACTACGCTGTCCGTCTGCGCGATGATTCCGAAAGGATCCGGTGCCGCGTAAACGGTCATTAATTTGGTCGGATTTCGACCCGCGTCGGCGATTTGCATTGATTAAACAGAGGTAAATTAATTTAGATTACTTTATCACGACGCCAAATCAACGACGTAGTCCCATAAACGGGGATACCGCCGGGGCCAACAATAGTAACGGCGATGACACACCGGCGACATCATCAACGTCCGCGTCCCGATATTTGGAGCACAAAGATCGATACCATACAAACTCGTACAAGTCAATCCGATAAGTCATTACGACGTCAACGATATATAATACGTAATATTCGCAAACGAGTCAACGTGATTCCGTCGACTGGAAAATGCGATCGATACACCTTGACTATGTATATATAAATCTCGTCGCTTATGCCAAATTATTTTTTTAATATCGATCAAGAGAGGAAAGGAAAGAGAAAGAAAAAGAAGAAGAAATAATATTATTTAATGCATTTCAATAATTTGATATCATACATCGCGAATCGCATTCAATTTATGTATTTACTTATTTAAGATTAAAGTATTTTTATGAGCATTTTTTTCGTAGGAAAGAACAAAAATGTTTAGAAAAGAAAAGAAGTATTTATTATGTTATTAGACTATGATCTAAATCTAAAATAAGACAATGCGTAGACAATGTGCAATATCGCAATACTGTTCTTTCGAATCCTCCTCTTTGATCATTCGGAATGAACTCGAAATTAAATCAACTGAACCCAAAGTCTCATCCCAAAGCATTTCCGCTTTCTTGAAAGCATTGTTTTTCGAAAGAAATAGAGTTCTATGAGACCGTCGCGAAACAAAAGAACCGACTTCTTTATTATCAACAACCACCTGATGGATGAGGGAAACGTATAAAAAGATAACGGAAAGTACACTGCGATGTTAAGGGTTTTGGTCGCCGTACAACGATCGTCCAGAGAATGACATTCGTACTCAGATCGCCTTTTAGATTCAAGTAGAGCTCCCTCTATACATTCTCTAGCGAGGCATCGTATCGGAGGGCACTTGGAAAGACCAACCCAGAATCATGCTCGAGCATATAATACGGACGAAGTACGTGGGGAACGTGCACAAGTCTGGCTCTTGTAAATGATGACCAAGCCTTTGAGCGAAGCTGACGCAATTACTAAGTGCTCTCGTTTTAGGAATCAATTTGCACACACGAACAAGAGCTTCAAATGACACTACTGCCATCTTCGGCGGGTTAGGGATGTATTATTATTATCTACGCAACCGGCAGTCGTCAATGAACCGGTCGGTTATAATTAATATAAAATATTCCTCGCAAAATTAATCTCCAAACTGAAATCGACAAACATACATATCTACTTATGTGTCATCGATATTCTTACATTACCACTTATAAATGTATCTAGATATGAAAACAATTTAATGGACGATAAGATATGTCTCAGAATGAAAGTTTACGTCGTTATAGCTTCATTCATAGGACTCAGAATCCAGGAGTTTTCCGCGTCGCGAAAATTGCGAGAATTTCGAAAGTTTATGAAACGCAATTTTATCTACTCGCTCCCTTTAATGACTTTGACCTTTGCACTTTTGCATCTTACTGATAGGAAGTATAGATCCATATTAGCGTCAAGGGCTTATACTTTGTCCGGCAAACTTTTCAGGTGTCCTACATATAGAATGAGCGGACGACGGAGTCGTATTCCCCAATCGCTGCTCCAAGAAGAACGTCAGTTGAGAAACGACAGATGCTGCCCGTAAGTCAAAGTACTGGGTTCTTAGTGAACTTTCGATCGTTAATATCCCCTTGGGAATGTGTATATATGTTTAAGATGTCACGAGAGTCGCGTATATTTATTAGCGCGTCACACACGTAACTCCTATAATTCGTTTATGATCGCCGACGTGTGAAACGCGAAAAGGTGCAGTCACTAAATCATTAAAGCAACAAGAAATATTTCGTTCTTCAAAAAAAATATCATTTTATAAATATATATATAAAATAATATTATACAAATATTCTTAAAATTCTGCAAATTAATTTTATCATTAATATTTTAACGTAATTTTCTGTAAATTTATCGAAAAGTTTTTATCGAAAAGTATCTAAGTATAAAACACTTCATCAATGTACTAAATTTCTCAAAA